CACATTAGGGTCAATTCATTAACTAGCACAACTAAATCACATGAAACATTTTTTCCAATTATCTCGTGCATGCTGAAAATGTCAATTCACTATCACCTTATGAGGTATTTACCTCAAAAAACGAAAATTTTCTGTAAATACCTCATACAAAGGTGTTAAGTTCAATTAACTAAAGGAAATAAATAAGTGGTGGTCCAGGCATGCAGTATTTAAGGAATGTAAAAATATATTCGCCAACTTGTAGTAGTCTCTACCTTTTCAGATCAGTTCTCTCAACAGTATTGCATAGCAATCTAAAATGGAATAACACAGAATCATTGGGGTTGATTTGCTTAACCACTTACTTACCAGGCACTTATACCCCCTTCCTTACCAGGCCAATTTTCAGCTTTCAGCGCTGCCGCACTTTTTGACAATTGCGCGGTCATGCAACATTGTACCCATATGAAATTTTGATCATTTTTTTCTCACAAATAGAGCTTTCTTTTGGTGGTATTTAATCACCACTGGGCGCTTTACTTTTTGCGCTATAAATTAAAAAATTGCAAAAAATTAAAAAAAAAAAAAAAAAAGTTTCTTTTGTTTCTATTATAAAATTTTTCAAACAGGTAATTTTTCTCCTTCACTGATGTGCGTTGATGAGGCAGCACTGATGGGCACTGATAGGCAGCACTAAAGGGCACTGATAGGCAGTACTAATGAGGTGTCACGGATAGGCGGCACTAATAGGCGGCACTGATGATGGGTACTGATAGATGGCACTGACTGGCATCACTGCTGGGCACTGACTGGCGGCACTGACTGGCACAACCGCTGGGCACTGACTGGCAGCACTGCTGGGCTGCACTGGTGGGCAGCACTGGTGGGTGGGCACAGGTGGGTGGCACTGCTGGGCACAGGTAGGTGGCACTTCTGGGCACAGGTGTGTGACACTGCAGAGTGGCACAGGTGGGTGCACTGCTGGGCACAGGTGGGTGATCTGCTGGGCACAGGTGGGCGGAGCTAGTGGGCGCACTGCTGGGCACAGGTGGGCGGAACTTGCGGGTGGCACTGCTGGGCACCGATCATCAGTGCCCTGATGATCGGTGCCGATCCCTGCTGTGACAACTGCCGGTTCTCGGCAGTACTTTCCTCACGATCTGACAGCGTGAGGAAAGTGCAGCCGAGAACCTGCACTTGCATTTCCCTCTGATCAGCGTGTCATTGGACACCGCTGATCACGTGGTAAAAGGCTGATCACGGAGATCGCCGGGTGCGCGCCCCCTGGGGCGCGCAGGAGAGCGCGTTCTGGGGGGACGTCATATGACGTCCACCCAGAACTTGCCGGCCGCAGTGAAGCCGTCATTCGGCTATCTGCGGTCGGCAACTAGTTAAAGAATAACTAAAGGCAAAACTGTTTTTTTAGTTTTGGATAGAGTAGGGAGGAATTTGAACTCCTGTCAGGTTCTTATTGCAGTCTTTGCTCCCCGTGAAGGAGATTCACCCTCTCTATTTGTCTTTACTGTTCTCATTGAAAGTGAAAATAAAAAAAATCCCACATTTTGGGCTGTCCAGAAAATTAATAGGAGGGGAAATTTTCTAACGGGGACACTAGTTCTTGTGACCTGAGGGTCCCCAATGGATTCTTTTAATTTGAAGGGATTTCCTCTCACTTCCTGTTATGGTAACAGAAGTTACCATAAGTGAAGTGAAGGGAAGTCTCCTCAATGACGGTTTCTTTTTTTATTGGTGGAAGAAGGGTATTTATATACACTATATTGCATAGAGTATTAGCACACCCTTCCAAACAATTGGATTCAGGTGTTGCAATCACCTCCATGGCCACAGCTGTATAAAATCAAGCACCTAGGCATGCAGACTGCTTCTACAAACATTTGTGAAAGAATGGGTTGCTCTCAGGAGCTCAGTGAATTCAAGCGTGCAATAAGCCTAGGAAATTTCCTTGCTACTAAATATTCCACGGTCAACTGTTAGTGGTATTATAACAAAGTGGAAGCAACTGGGAACAACAGCAACTCAGCCACGAAGTAGTAGGTCACGTAAAATAACAAAACAGGGTCAGCACATGCTGAATGCAGAAGTCGCTAGATAGAGTCAAAATACCTCCAAACTTTGTGTGGCCTTCAGATTAGCACAACAGTGCGTAGAGAGCTTCGTGGAATGGGTTTTCATGGGCGAGCAGCTGCATCCAAGCTTACATAACCAAGTACAATGCAAAGCGTTGGATGCAGTGGTATATAGCACACCACCACTGGACTCTAGAGCAGTGGAGATGTGTCCTCTGGAGTGATGAATCACGCTTGTTTGGCAATCCGATGGACATGTTTGGGTTTGGTGGCTGCCAGGACAAGGGTACTTGCCTGACTGCATTGTGCCATTTGCCAGGAAAACAGTACTTGCCTGACTGCATTGTGCCAAGTGTAAAGTTTGGTGGAGGGGCGATTGTAGTGTGGGGTCATTTTTCAGGGGTTGGGCTTGGCCCCTTACTTCCAGTGAAGGGAACTCTTAAGGCGTTAGCATACCAAGACATTTTGGACAATTTAATGTTTCCAACTTTCTGGGAACAGTTTGGGGATGGCCCCTTCCTGTTCCAACATGCCTGTGCACCGGCGCACAAAGCGAGGTCCATAAAGACATGCATAAGCGAGTTTTTAGGGTGGAGGAACTTGACTGATCTGCAGAGTCCAGACTTTAACCAGGTAGAACACCTTTGGGATAAATCAGAGTGGAGACTGCAAGTTAGGTCTTATCTGACATCAGTTCCTGACCTCAGAAATTTGCTTCTGGAAGAATGGGCAAACATTCCCATAGACCGGGTGTCGGCAACCCACGGCTCCGGAGCCGCATGCGGCTCTTTTTCACCTTTCCTGCGGCTCCGGAGCACACTGCCCACCAGGTGACAGGCAATAGGGTCGGCAAGCCGCGGCTCTTTTAATGCAGATCTTCTGTGTGCCGGGCGCCCGCTGGCAAACATTGGCTGTCAGGATGTAGGTGGGGCAGCCCGGATGTAGGCGGGGCAGCGTGACGAACTCCTCTCCTCTCACAGTCCGCCCTGAAGACCAGAACGGCGCGGGAACCCAGCGAGAGGAACGCGCGGAGCAAAGGTAAGTGAATTCACACAATATGGGGGATGAATTACTATAGGGGGGATGAATTACTATAGGGGGGATGAATTACTATAGGGGGGATGAATTACTATAGGGGGGATGAATTACTATGGGGGATGAATTACTATATGGGGATGAATTACTATATGGGGGATGTATTTTCAGTTTTAAAAATGTTTCTCTCAAAATAAATTTCAATCGTGGTTTTGGCGAGATTTGGCTCAGTCGAAAAAAAAGGTTGCCCACCACTGACCTAAGGCTATGATTGTGATTATGACGATACACTGTGGCCCTGATTAACCCTTTGCTTACTGGGCCCTTAAACCCCCTTCATGACCAGAGCGTTTTTTTGCAATATATGCAGTGTCGGATTTGTTTTAAATGTTGCAATGGTTTTGCGGCTCCCAGTCTTTTTTTCCCTCTCGGAAACGGGTCCAAGTGGCTCTTTATGTCTTAAAGGTTGCAGACCCCTGCCATAGACACTCCTAAACCTTGTGGACAGCCTTCTCAGAAGAATTCAAGCTGTTATAGCTGCAAAGGGTGGGCCAAATCCATATTTAACACCACAGACTAAGACTGGGCTGCCATTAAAGTTCATGTGTGTGTAAAAGCAGGCGTCCGTATTTACATTCAATATTGGACATTTATGAAGATATTTTGTATTTTCATTTAACTTAGTTGTTTCGATACACCACGTGTCCTGTGAAAGCAGCTTCCCTTTGAGTGGTATTCTAGTCATCTTTTTTCTTTTGTATTAATGCATACTATACTGAAGGGACCACGCTAACTTCCAAATGGTTTCATCACATTTTGATGAAAACTTACACGCTTTATTTTAGTAGGGTTTTTTTTTGTGAATTGCAAAAATTTTTTGAAAAACATTGAGCAATTTTATCTTAGATTTTAACTTTACCTCAGGAAGATTTACCCCCCTTCATGACCAGGCCATTATTTTGTTATACGGTGCCGCGCTACTTTAACTGACAATTGCACGGTCATGCAACACTGTACACAAAATTACATTTATATAATTTTTTCACACAAATAGAGCTTTTTTTTGGTGGTATTTGATCACTTTAAGACCAAAATTAAAAAAAAAAAAAGTTTCCCTTTTTTCTATAAAACATACCTCATAAAAAAAAATATACATTCTTCATAAATTTAGGGCAAAATGTAATCTGCTACAAGTTTTTGATAAAAAAAAAATCCCAATAAATGTATATTAATTGGTTTGCGTGAAAGTTATAGCGTCTACAAATGGCAGTATATATACTGGAATTTTTATTTATTTAAAACTACTTGCAATGGCGGCGATCCGCAACTTATAGCTGGACTACGCTGGGCATTCTGACACTAAGTGGGAATGAACTGCCACGGACATCTCCAGTGACACCAGCAGTGATCAGTGCTAATGAAAAAGCACTGATCACTGTACTAATGACACTGGGCAGGAAAGGGTTAACGTCTGGGCCGGTCAGAGGGTTAGCTGTGTACTGTTTTGTGCTTGTGTGCTGTTTTACAAGGGGATATGCTGCTTTCTATCTCTCTGCAGAGATAGAAAGCAGCACGTCCTCGCTGACAGGAGAGAGATCTGTGTTGTTTACACTCAGATCTCTGCCCTGTCAGCTGCTCCACCAATCACCAAGTTCCGGCCATAAATTACTAGCCGGGACCCAATAACTAACATCTCTGGGAGCCAATGACAGCATCCACAGCCAGTGGTATATTTAAGTAGTTGTCCACAAAAGACTAATAAGATGCAAACATATGTTTATTTATTAGGTATATTATATACAGTACATTCATGACAATATTTTGCATGAGCAGCATATTTTACAGTGACATTTCCTAGTTAAAAATGTACAAACACAACGCAATATAAACAGAACTACATCAGCTCATTTTTAATTCAGTAAATCCAGCTATAGGGTATTTATCTTCAGAAGTTTTTTCCACTCTATCATGGGGAAAAAAAGAGAAAAAAATTTGAATCGTTCTCCCATTTTATCCGGATTCATAAGAACATCATAGCTCTGTATCAAATGTTTCTGCGTTACAGCATCTTTAGCATTTTCCATAAGAACCTGAAAACATGATTTGTTTGTAAAAACTATTAAAATATGAATCTGCACAATACAACAGGCTAAATATAGTACTGCCTATTGTAATTCCAGAACTAGGATTCACATAAGATTTCACAGAAACTTAATATACAGGCAATTGGTAAAATAATTAGGAAGTTTGACTTACCTCTAAATGTTTTTTTTTTTAACCAGTTTGTTTATTACATTTTTGTAAATACCAAAAAGTGACAAAGTAATCCAATCTCACATCTCATGTCAAATTTCTTATCTTAGAGACTATACAGGACACAGGACTTGTATTATTAGACTATGGGTTATATATGCAGGCTGCCTTCAGGTTGTTGGATACTGGCAAAAACATGCTGAGCCACCCCTAATGCATACTTCCATAATCCTGTCCACTATGTGAGACTCCAGTCCTCTTGCAAGCAATAAGAGGTGATCAAGACACAGAGGGAAGGGGCATCTATTGCCACCACCTTCCAGGATATGGGAAGGAAATGACTAGGGCAGAACTAGAGATCCAACACACCAGGGAAAGCTTTTTATGGCTGGATAAGAGCATGGGATGATCCATGGACTGGATATGCTCCACTTCGTGAGGATGTTGGTTGAAGAAGTTGTGAGTGAAACTGGGCTACCATTAGGCCCAAAACTCTCAGAAGCAGACCGAGGAGTGCCATTTGGATCCGAGGGTCCACCTGTGGGACCTTAGGGAGGCAAATTTTTCCTGAGGAGGGAAAATTCAGATTTGGGCTGTGTCCCAAATTCTCCAGACCATGTGAGGGCAAGAGGACAGACTTTGGAAAGTTGATCACGTAGCCAAAAGTTTGAAGACACTGAATAGTCTTTTGGATACGACTGACATGTTGCGATGGAATCATCCTTCAATAGAAGGTCCTCCAAGTATCTTGTGACATAAATGTCCTGTGTCCACAAAAAAGGAAGAAGCAGGGCAAACATTTTTGTGAACACTTAGGGGTGGAGGAGAGGTTGAAAGGTAGTACTACAAATTAGAAGTGGTGGTCTCTCACAGCAAAGCATAGAAATCATTGATTTAAGGAACGTTGGGGATGTGATCAGTATGTTTATTGATGACAGAAATTCCCATTAGCTAAGACAAGCAACGACAGACCTTATTGAAGCAGGAAATGCAGGATCTGGACGAGTCAGCTGCCGGAGTCTGCTAAATACTGAGACCAGGGGAGGCAGAGACAAGGGGGTGCTGCAGCTGCACAAGAAGGTTCAGGATCTGCAGGAGGCGTATTGTCCTTTCTGCTGCCTACTGTTGAGACGGGGGGCAGAGATTAGCCTCTCCACGGCTGCAGAGAAGCATGGTCTTCCTCTTGCTGCAGACTGCTGAAACAAGGTGGGAAGCAGAGATGAGGGGGGTGCCGCAGCTGCAAAAGAGGTGTGACTGCCACAAGAAATGGCCTGCCAATTCGGATTTAGCCCTCGGGCCTGGTGTTTGATACGTGTGCTCTAGAATATCAACACAGAACAATAGGACTATCAGATTTAATTGTTCTAAGAAAGTAGGGTTCTCAAAGACAGGTTCTTTGTCTCTAGTTATTTGTCTTGTCCAACAATGGTCTGGTGTTAAGAAACCAATAAAGCTGATGCTCACTCTTGTGCAGCTAATGCTCATTCTCATACAGCTAATGTGCGTGCACATGTCCAGCATACAAACTCAGGTCAGTAACCAACATGCACTGACACTTTGGCACATCTGTGTGCCAGAGTGGATCGGTGTGCACGTCCATGCACATTGGTGCACACCCAATCCAAGGAATGGCGCCAAGCTGCCTATTTAAAGGAGGCCCTGATGTGTGCTAACTGCTGTATGTTCTTCAGCTTCCCCATGACCTTTGCTTCTGCTGATCAGGCTTGCTCCTGATCCTGCTCTGTGGATTCTGGATATCAACCTCAAACTCGTATCCCTGGCAGACTCCTACCAAGTTTTCAGCACCCCTGCTTCTTTGAGCCTTGTATCTCATTCAGGGGTGCTCAGACTAGAGCCACAAGAGAAGCCCTCTCGTTAGCTCGGCCTCCAACATCTAGCAATAACAATCATGTATACAAAACAAGGTCTCAAATGGCACCATTTGAAACATTGCTTTTTTACAAGATTGAGAGAATCTTTTTGTCATTTTGCAGATAATACACTCCGACATATAGGGATAGACTTAGATGGTATTTTATACCCGTGGAATTGACTTTCAGTGCATTTAGCTATGTGGTATTAGTGACACCTTTGATACCTAGTAATAAGATATTCCATATACCATGTACTGTGTAGACAAGTTTAGCCTCATCTGATGTGACATCTTTTCTGTCTCTCTAGTACTCTTTGGTGGTAGAGCTGTATAATCTGCTTTGAATAATGGCATTGCTCCTGAAGATGCAACTATAATACAAAACTGATTGATCCCTTACGCCACTTTGTAATTGCAATATTGTACATTTGTAATGATATGGCAATTGATGATCTTTGGTGCATGATTTTAATCATTGTAATAAATATTGTATTATATATTTTAATGGTTTCTTTGTTAGATGTTCCTTTTTAGGGCACATTTAAAAGTCCTGTTGTACTTCTGCTATCCCCCCAAAAAATTGTTTTTGTAGAAAAGAGATGGAAACAATTTTTGGATTAGAGATGGTGCCATAATGGGAGACTGATAGATGGGTTCACACACATTTATTTGTGTAGGAAGGCATAAACTAGTCTGAATTTAAACCAAGGAATAAGTAGAGCAACCAAGGTCTGAGCTAGAGGATCTCTGGTTCTGTATACAAACAGAGGTAGCTTGTTGTATCTGGAGGCTAGGATGTCCACATCCCAAGTCCCCCATTTTTTGGCATATCAGTTTGAACACATCTGAATGAAGAGACCACTCCCTAGGTGCAGGCAACGGTGGCTGAAGCAGATGGGGACGGCAGAAATCACTGGACAGCAAGTTACTTTCCATAAGAGAATCTGGTTTGCTTCTTACAAGACAGCCAAGCCTTTTCTGCCCCCTTTATGGTTGATATATGCCACTGTGCTGGTATTGTCTGACTGCACCTGAATTTGGTGTTTCTTTAGAAGGGGAGTCCAGTGCTGGAGAGACAGTCTGACAGCACTAAGCTTGGTCATCTTTCTTGAACTGTAAAAGATTGGAAAAACTCCTTCCTAACTTGACAAACTTGTGTCTGTTGCAAGAACCTTCCAAGTGTAAGGGAGTAAGGATTTTCCTACTGGTGGTGGTCCACCAGGACAAAGAATTTCTTGTTTGGCCAGGAATGGATAGTGAAGGAGCCTAATTATTTTCATGCTTACAGGATGTTTAGCTGGAAAGTTCTTGAATGGAATTGGTAAAAGGTACTACCTCAGAGAAGGCCACCAGTAGACCCAGCACTCTCATAGTGAATCTCACTGTGGGATCTCTTTTGGATTGCAGTAGTCGAGCATGAATTCTTACAGAAAGAACTTTTTTTTTTTCTGAAAGACTTTTTTTTCTGCGATCTCACTTGTGACCTCTGTTCTGAATTGGTCAAGTGTCTCATCAAATAGATGTCGTCTTCCTTGAAAAGACATGTGTGAGGCACCTTTTTAGAGGCAGCTTGTGCTGTCCAAGCCTTTAGTTAGAGGATTTTGCGCATATGAACAGAGATTGGAGCCATTTTGGATATTTGTCTCATGACGTGTTTTCAGGGCATCTGTCAGCAGACTCTTTAAAAGACAGTATCTTCAGTAGGTACAGTGAGATGTTTAGAACAGAGACCTTTATCACTGGATAAAGGTCATCATTTTGCCTGGCAAAATATTGGCAAATATAGAATCATTCATAAGGAGTAATATTGAGCATATCATAATAGCACTACAGGGGTTAAGACTAGGACAAGTAAGTTTGCCAGGTATACTTATATAGGAATGACAACAGGATCCGCAAGAGCTAGTTTGTCCTCTATCACTGCTCACAGAGCTCTCTGACTAAAGGCATGGACAGCTGTTCCAGCATTAAACTGGAGTGATCAGTGGTAGTTAAAGTTTGATACCCACAGACAGGAGAACTAGATGGCAAAAGTCATTAAATGTCAGGAATTGGCTATCTGAAAGGCACAGAGATGTGAGGATCTACTAGCCAGGGAGAGACTACAGAAGGGGCTGAAACAGTATCCAGGCTTTCCTCCTAAAAACAACAGGCAAGCAGAAAAGGCAGTTGGATTCACAAGAATCGCAGAAGCAGCTTTTAGGTTTGCCCACCCCGGCTTTTATGGTAGGAGCAAGGTTAAATATTTTTACCCAGGCCTGGGTGGACAGACTCTTTGACAGTTGCTACAGTAACCTACAGTCGTCACTGGGCATTCACAAGAAAGCCTACTTGAAATTAACTAATCGAAACCAAGGTTCCTGGTACCTTGGAAAGTGTCAAATACTTTAACTTATATTAAGACACTAGTTCAGAAGAAGGCAATAGTTGAAGTGCCCGAGCAAAAGGGATTCAAGGGATTCTCTTCCCCTCTTTCTAGTAAAGAAGAAAACATGACATTCAACCAGTGTTGGATGTTGAACAGATGTACTATATTTGGATAGACTCTTTCAAGATGGAAACTCTATAGTCAATTTTGTTATCCATTCATCAGAAAGACTTATTTACATATTCCCAATCACTAGAATTTCCAAAAATGGGTTTTGCTGCTGGTCCAAAACCAACAATTGCAATCTCTCCTGTTTGGGCTGTCTACATCACCCAGAATGTTTGCAAAAGTTCTTGTGAACTTTTGAAGTTCTTGTTTACATCCCACTATCTGAGTGTCTTTCTCTACTCTCTGGTGAGTTGGGCACACTGGCAACTCAGACCTTTTCATAATGGGTTGTTTGATCAGTGGAAGAAATGCAGTCACTTTCAGCACTTTGAATGAGATTGCCCATGAAGAATGTGTTATATTGGTGGACTTAGCCAAAAAACCTAAATAATCACCTAGAGATATCCATCCTGTCCTGGACCAAAATTACTTCCAACGCCAGTCAGCAGGGCTGGGCAGGCACAACTGCAAGAAATCTGAGTTCAGAACAAGTGGAAATTCAATGCTAACTTGTTGGAGATGAGCATGGCGTATCTAGAACTATACTTACTGGCTTCCTAAATTCAAGGGGAAAATAACCTGCTTCAGATAGACAACAGAGCAGCAGTCTAATATGTGAAGCATCAGAAAGCCATTAGAAGTCGTACCACAATGAAAGATGTCCAACCAATTATGGAATGGGCCCATTGGAATGTCTGCAGGAGGTACATATATCGACAACCAAGAAACAGTGGTCCTTTCTCAGCAGGTCATTTGCCAAGTGGTCTTTGAATCAGAGAGTCAAGCCTTTTACTTTATGTGAAATCTATACTTTTTAATAAATATACTACACTATATGTAGTCCTCTGCTTGTGGCTCTATGTGGTGAGCACTTTTTTTCCCCAGCATCAAGCAAACCCGACTGTCCCCAATGGTGAGTAGTGGTACTGCGGTGTCCCCATTGTGAGAATAGAGCTGGTTGACCACGTGTGAAGGATCCTATGCACATTGCGGTTTCATCTGGCAGCACTCGGTGAGTGCATTTTAGCTCTGTTTCTTATGTGTGGTAGAGAGGATTTCCATTAGCTGGTAGAAGACACTTTGTCTGCGGTAATATTTATCACATATTTTGGACTTTTTTGCACTGGACTTCATTTACACTGATTTATCATTTTATCATCATTTTTTTAATGCTGTAGCTGCTTGTTGCACATTACCAATGCTGTAGTTCTAGCACATGCTTAAGCTTGTAATATTCTATATATTTGGAGGTGCTGCCTTATTTTATTTGCTGAATTTTTCGGGTACTGTATATTTACCTATTGCAAGCTGCCCATTTTCTTTTGTGCTGACCTCCTCATTATGTTTTACTTTGAGTCAGAAATTCTTTGAGGACATCACCAGGCTCTGGTGTCTCCAAATGTTGACTTGGTAGCATCTCCTCTAAATGTGAAGTACCCTTGAGACATAGCATGGGTAGGGTAGTATTTGGGTATCAGGTCAGTTATGTAGTTCGGGGCGGCATTGTGAATGGCTTTGTAGGTCAGAGTTAGCAGTTTGAATTTGATGTGTTGGGCAATCGGGAGCCAATGGAGGGATTGGCAGAGGGGGGAGGCAGATGTGGAGTGGTTGGTGAGCTGGATGAGTCTAGCCGCTGAGTTTAGGATCGACCGGAGTGGGGATAGTGTTCGTTTGGGTACGCCAGTGAGAAGGGAATTGCAATAGTCCAGGCGTGAGATGATGAGGGAGTGAACGAGTTGTTTGGTGGTAACTGAGGTAAGGAATGTGCGTATTTTGGAGATGTTGCAGAGGTGGAGCCTGCAAGATCTAGATAGCAGTTGGATGTGGGGTAGGAAGGAGAGTTGGGAGTCCAGGGTGACACCCAGGACTTTGGCGTGTGGGGTGGGAGAGATGGTGTGGCGTTGTTAGTAGTGATGGAGAGGATGGGGGGGGGGGGGGCACGGGGTGGGGTGTGAAGACCAGGAGCTTGGTTTTGGATAGGTTAAGTTTGAGGAAATGGAGCGACATCCAGTCTGATATGTCGTTTAGGAGGTGGGCGATGCGGGCAGAGAATGAGGGGGTGAGGTGGGGAGTGGAGAGGTAAATTTGGGTGTCGTTGGCATAGAGATGGTAATTGAAAACCGTGGGAGTGAATAAGTTTGCCAAGGGAGGAGGTATAGATGGAGAAGAGGAGGGGCCCGAGGACAGAGCCTTGGGGGACCCCGACAGAGAGGGGGAGGTGGCAGCTTATGTGGAAGTCTCACTCAGTGTCAGGAATAGTAAAAGTCCTGTATTGGCCCAGGAGACCATGCTTTCCTTTCCCCTGGAAATGACAGGGTGCTTCATTTGATTCCAGACGTATTGTCACAGAACCACCTCATACATCCACATTTGAAGAAACGGCACTTAGTAACCATGTATCCTCCCCCTTTCACATTCTGTTTATTCCCGAGTGATGAGGCACATTACTGAAAGAACTGAAAGCAAGAAAAGTGTTCACCAACACTACCATCTTGGTTCCTCCCCATAACATGAATGTGAATGGCACAAAAAACAACCTTCTGATGTGATGCCACATTAGACTCTGGACCCTATTATTGCAATATCCAGCATCTGTAAGAAAAGCCTGCCAAATGCTGATTGTGTACTGATGCACTTTGGTAAAGACTACATAGGAGTATTATATATATATATATATATATATATATATATATATATATTCAACCATACTCCTATGTAGTCTTTACCAAAGTGCATCAGTACACAATCAGCATTTGGCAGTCTTGCCTCTGTAAATCTGTAGTGGAGTTATCTCACAGCTCTTGTGGTTTTGAGCCCTAAGTATTATAAGCCTATCTGATGTATGCTATATAGGTCATTGTGAGAAGGTGAATTGTGTCCAGAGAGGAGTGGCATCACATTGGAAGTGTATTTTTGTGCTGTTCCCATTCGAGATATAGAGAGGAACATCAGTGATGATGTGTGAATCACTGCATTGGAAGTGGCAACCTGCTCTTCAGCTTACATCTTTATTACCCACAACAGGATTGGTGTGGCCTGTTTGGCTACAGAATAGTTAGCCAGGGCACACCTACAAGCTTCATGATCAGTCTTTGTAAAGTTAATATATTTTTTTAACCCTGCCTGTATGTGTCACTGTCACCATTGTATGATGTCATAGTGCTACAGGAAAATGTTTACTTACCTTTTCTGGTGCATCTTCATTGGCGGCATGCACAATTCCAACCCTTGTGGTGACCAGTACAAAGAATGGAATACTTTGAGTGAGCTTACAAATTAAAAGATGGGGTTGATGGGGCAGAAGCATAATTCACAAACTACCATTAAGATGCACAAGGAAAGGAAAATTACAGAAAAGTAGGTATACATTTTTGGGGGGACTATTGTGTTTAGAGTTAAAATTACATGTACCTCCTATACACCTTTCATGAGCAATTTCTTTGATATACCATTAAATCTCTACAACCTTTTCCTATTTGTACCAAGATTCTTCTTAATAAAGAGTCACTATATAACTCTTATGTTTTCTTTGTTTTTGTTTTCATCCTCATGGTTTCTACTTATGTCTTCCCTATTCCATTTCTGTTTTTACTTTTCACCTCCCCTTACTTCTTATTTATAAATGCCTTAGGGGAAGGATAGAAAAGAAAAAGGTTACAAAGTACAAGTAAAAAACAGACTAAATTTAACCTTACCTTCATTCGCAAATCAATTCCCATATTTCTCAAGAACTCATTTTGTGTAATAGGTCCAAAAGTGCTCACAGTATTTGCAGTCATCATTTTCAAGAAGCTAAAGTCAACATCAGCTGTAAGATCTGCTGTTCCTGGATCTAACAGCACATTGTGTAACTGGTGAGACCTAAATCCCTGAACACAAAACAAAATGTCTAACAGAATGGTGTGTATCTAGAAATGTGCATGGCATGATTCATTAACACCTCTAAATATGAAGAAAATTGTAAAAGGACATTAGAACTCTAAATGTTCCCAAGCTCAAAAAAAGGGGGTGGGGGGCGTTGGTGCAAGTGTTAAAAAAGAAAGAAGGCAATAACAATAGACAAGCAAAAAAGATAAAGGGGTAAAAGAAGTAGTTTTAGTTCTTGAGAAAAGTCCATAAAAAAACATGGTGGTATGAAATTCACATAATGACATCAGCAGTCTCTCCTCCAAGCAGGGAGGCTTTCACCAGCAAACCATGAATAAACAGAAAAAAGGAGAGAAAAGCACCACTACCTAAGTGTACCATTAATTAAAAGAATTGTTGAAATGAAAAACAATAAATATGCACTGACATTTAAGAGACATTATAAGGTTTATCAATAAGTCTCCAGCAGGTGGCAACCTTCCAAGTGGTCAATGGGTACGGCCAAGGGTATGCTTCTACAGTAAATATCTCCTAAACGGTGCATGTTTAGGAGATATTTACAGTATCAAAGGCTTACCTGAAGGCAAAAGATACAAAAAGTGGGTTTACTTCTACTTTAAATATGGAATTTTAAGCTAGAGCATTTTAAGTGTGCACACACAGACAAAAATGCTCCACTTTCTCTAGTCTCTACTTGAGTATGTTTTTGGATCATATGCCCCTAGTCGGTTAAGAGGTGATATGATTACAATGTACAAATATATCAAAGGTGATCAATTTTAGATGCCTTGTTCAGGAAGCAGAATTGCTTCCAGTTGTGTTCAAAATAATAGCAGTGTGTTGAAAAAAGTGAATAAAGCTCAAAATCCTTCTAATAGCTTTTATTTCCATACACACAAATGCATTGGGAACGCTACACATTCTATTCCAAATCAAAATATGACAAAAAATATCAAATTTTGTGTTGCTCTAAAAAAAAAAATTGAAGAAAAGTAAATATTAGACTGTTCAAAAAAAAAAATAGCAGTGTTTGTATTCTTCTTTACAAACTCAAACATTCACTATATAAACTTAAAAATGTTGGAGGATTTTGCTTTCCTTTGAATCACTTAATTAATATTTAGTTGTATAACCACTGTTTCTGAGAACTGCTGTACATCTGTGTTGCATGGAGTCAACCAACTTCTGGCACCTGTGAACAGGTATTCCAGCCCAGGATGATTGGACTACATTCCACAGTTTTTCTCAATTTTTTCGGTTTTGCCTCAGAAACTGCATTTTTTGATGTCACCCCACAAGTTTTCTATTGGATTAAGATCCGGGGATTGGGCTGGTCACTCCATAACGTCAATCTTGTTGGTCTGGAACCAAGATGTTGCACGTTTACTGGTGTGTTTGGGGTCGTTGTCTTGTTGGAACACCCATTTCAAAGGCATTTCCTCTTCAGCATAAGGCAGCATGACCTCTTCAAGTATTCTGATGTATTCAAACTGATCCATGATCCCTGGTATGCGATAAATAAGCCCAACACCGTAGTATGAGAAACATCCCCATATCATGATGCTTGCGCAACCATGCTTCACTGTCTTCACAGTGTACTGTTGCTTGAATTCAGTGTTTGGGGGTCGTCTGACAAACTGTCTCTGGCCACTAGACCCAAAAAGAACAATCTTACTTTCATCAGTGCACAAAATGTTGCGCCATTTCTCTTTAGGCTAGTCAATGTGCTCTTTGGCAAATTGTAACCTCTTCAGTACATGTGTTTTTTTTCAACAGTGGGACTTTGCAGGGGCTTCTTGCAGATAGCTTGGCTTCACATAGGCGTCTTCTAATCGCAACAGTACTCACAGGTAACTTTCGACCTTCTTTGATCTTCCTGGAGCTGATTGTTGGCTGAGTCCTTGCCATTTTGGCTATTCTTCTATCCATTCGAATGGTAGTTTTCCGCTTTCTTCCACGTCTTTCACTTTTTGGTTGCCATTTTAAAGCATTTGCGATCATTTTAGATGAGCAGCCTATCATTTTCTGCACTTTCTTTAGAGGTTTTCCCCTCTCCAATCAACTTTTTAATCAAGGTACGCTGTTCTTCTGAACAATGTCTGGAACGACCCATTTTCCTCAGTATTTCAGAGAGAAATGCACTGTAACCAGCATGTACATTTGCTGCCTTCCTTCCTTAAATAAGGGCAATAATTGTCACCTGTTTTTCAAAGAATGAATGACCTCACTAATAGAACTCCACACTGCTATTATTTTGAACATGCCCTCAATTACACAGAATCAGCAGCATGCATGTCATGACTGTTGGGTCTGTTGGATTTCTATTACTCTGCTACACCTGCTAGTAAATTATTTGCCATGTAGAAATATAATTTCTACCAAAAACAGTGATTGATCAGGTTAGTGATATCTGACTGCTATTATTTTGAACACAACTGTACATGGCTATGGGAGTTGTTCGAAAATAAAAATCACACACACACGTTAAAATGAATAAACCTG